CCCACCGATGAGTATGTCATCTTGCTTACATACACATTTTTCTATTCCTTGCAAGATTTGATCCATTTTTTTCTGAAAGATTTTCGGGGCAGACTTTACTCCATAAGGAAGCTTAGTATATGAGTAAAGTCCTTTGTGAGTATTTATGGTCAAGTATTCTTGACTCTGTTTATCTACACTAAGTTGAGCATAAGCATGTGACAAATCTAACTTACTGAAAACCTTAGAACCACTAAGGGCAGTGTACAAATCCTGTGTGGTTGGTAGAGGGTATTCTTCATCCTCAACAGACTGGTTGATCGTGACTTTATAGTCCCCACAAATTCTTACAGATTTGTCTGCTTTAGGTACAACCACTATGGGACTAGCCCAGTCTGACCTTTCAATTTTTTTTATAACTCCATGTTTTTCAAGCTTCTCCAGTTCATTTTCAACAGCTTGTTTTAGAGGATAACCGACCTTTCTTGGCTTACAAAATATAGGTTTGGCACCATCTTTCATTGTTATATGAGCTTCAAAACCCTGAAGGCCTTCATAACTCTCATCAAACAAAACCTTATGTTTGGAAAGTAAGATGTCAAACTGCTCTGCTGGTACAGAGGTTCTTGATGACTGGATATGAAATATTTCTTCCCACTTAAACTTCACAACACTAAGCCAGTCCCTCCTTAACAGGGTGGGTTTCCCTTCATCATTTGCCACTAGTATGGGGAGTATCTCTGATCTTTGTACATTACATCACACACCATTTCCCCACACACACTCAGTGTTTCACCAGTATACGTTCTCAGTTTTGCGCTCGAGGGTAAAAGGGAAAATCTACTAAAATTCTGCATATAAGTACTTTTACTCATAATAGAACGGTCAGCTGCTGTATCGACCTCCAATTCGCACATACATCCATTCAGGGACATATTCACTTTGTACTTGGACTTATGCTCACACATGACCGTCTCTACAGAAAATATGCCTAACTCATCAATCTCTTCCCCCTCCTCATTACATACATTRTGAATATTTCCAACATGTTGGCTTGATGTTGTTTTACTCTCATCACTCTTACATACGATATGCCCATTTTTTTGACATTTAAAACATTTAGCATTTTTAAACTTACAGTTATTCGAGTTGTGTTTGCCTCCACATCTATAACATGAGTATGCATTTTTGGCAATAACTTGTTCCTTAATGTTCTCTTTTGTGGTAGCTATTTTATGGACTGTTCCTTGAGCGAGCTCTCCTGCAATGGGGTGCAACTCCTGTGTGTTTCTTTCTGCCATTTCCATTGCTTTAGCAATTTGACAAGCTTGGTCAAAGGTTAAATCAGCGGTGTTTAGTAGCTTATTCTGTATCTTGACATTGTTGAGACCACAAACAAATCGGTCTCTTAGTGCTCGGTTGAGAAATCCTCCGTAATTACAATGTATGGACAGTTGTTTAAGTGACACGATGAAATCATTCDCTGACTCGCCTGGCTTCTGTTTACGAGTGCCAAAGTGAAAACTTTCGGTGATCTCAAGAGGTTTTGGGTTGTAGTGTTTCTCCAAACACTTAACTATGTCATCGAGAGGAGTTTCTTKGGGCTTCTTTGGTGCTATGAGATTGCTAAGTGTAGTGTACACGTCAGGGCCAATCTCTGTGAGGAAAATCGCTTTCTGCCTTTCCTTGACTATTTGATTTTGAGCAGCTTTATCTTCGCCAGACTCCTCAACTATACTGTTCGCCGTGAAGAACATCTCCATTCTTTCAACATAAGAGGTGAATGTCTCGCGACTCGGAATAAATTCMCCAACACGACCAAAGAGTGCACTAGCGGCCATCTTGTCAAACACGTGTTTTGTCGGCTATCGACTACTTCAGCTGTTTGTCGCACTATTTCGGCTCGGTTCGCCACAAATTTGAAAACTTTACAGAATTGACGTGAGTGCTTGGTTTAAACACAATCCTCGTCGCCAAMAWGTGGTATCTTCCCACTAGTTTACAAATCAACACATCATGAGACAGCTTGGTTCTCTGACTGCTTTATTCCTTCTCTAGCATCATGGGTAATACA